CTGACCGTGCCTTACACACAGGGCCTGCTTAGCAGAAGGTGGCCTTGGTGCAAAGTGCGGGTTTCATCTAATGCGGACAGAGAAGAGAGGACGGAGCGGATTAGGCACAAACAATACAATACAGGGCACAACACACCCAGCCGTTTGCACCGGGCCAACATGTAGGTACCGTTGACGCCTCTTGGAGGCAAACGTCATACGGTGAAGCATCTTACCACGCCCGCACACGGGACTAACGCAGACTAGGCAACGACAGAGTGGCTCGCAGGCACGCAGATATGGAGCAAGCGAGGCTGTCCCTCGCTGCTCTTCCGAACGCCTTACTACTGTGACATTAGAGCCAGCCATCGTCTCAGGCACCACCCACGATTTACTGCTGCTGTGCGGTAATCTTCGATCCTGCATGGACAAGTTCACCCCCTCGAGCTCCAATAAGCCCCCCCGTCCCTCCCCCCCCTCCCCCGGTGTTTGCCATCGGGGTTGGTTTTTCGTCGCTTGGCAACGACGTTGTAAAACAAGCCCCCCACTCGGTGTTTGCCATCGGCGTTGGGTTTTCGTCGCTTGGCAACGACGTTGTAAAACAAGCCGCCCCTCCCGGTGTTTGCCATCGGGGTCGGGTTTTCGTCGCTTGGCAGCGATATTGTAAACCAAGCCGATTCACTTCGTGAGCTCGGCGACCAGGTTTCCGCTTCTTTTTTTTGCCTTGTTTTTTTTTTTTTGCGGTAACCATGATCGAGTAGATTCTGTTGTGCGGGGTGGAGAACCGTCACTCCGCGCAAAGGGGATGATCGCACGTTGTGTTAAATTGGTCAAATACCCTCGAGGCAGTTACACAGATCTTACAATTGTCTCTGCAAGTGAACGCACCAGAAAATAAATTAAGTCACACGCAGCTGTCATCCGTACGCAAGGAAGTAAGCACAAGATGCCGAACACCCTTAGCAGGGTGCAGCGCACCCTTCATGAGACTCGCCGAACACCTCACGGCGCTTCGCGCTTGGTGATGTGAGAGCCTGGTCCGGTGAGAACCCGGCGTGCTCCGTCCCGGCTTTGTAGGGATGCGAGGTCAATGGTCAAACGACTACGGCATGCACGACTATGAGTACCCCCCCCCCCCTCCCCGTCCCCCCTGGACCCCCCGGTGTTTGCCATCGGGGTTTGGGTTTTCGTCGCTTGGCAACGACGTTGTAAAACAAGCCCCCCACTCGGTGTTTGCCATCGGGATTGGGTTTTCGTCGCTTGGCAACGACGGTGTAAAACAAGCCAATTCACTTCGTGAACTCGGCAACCAGGTTACCGTTTTTTTTTTTACCTCGTTTTTTTTTTGGCGGTAACCATAATGGTGGTCGAGTAGATCATGTTGTGCGGGGTCGAGAAACCTCACTCCGCGCAACGGGGGATGATCGCACCACGTTGTGTTAAATTGGTCAAGCTTCCTCGAGGCAGTGACACAGTGCTTACAACTGTCTCTGGAAGTCAAAGCACCAGAAAATAAATTAAGTCATACGTAGCTGTCATCCGTACGCAAGGAAGTAAGTACAAGATGCCGAACACCCTTAGCAGGATGCAGCTCACCCTTCATGCGACTCGCCAAATACCTCACGGCGCTTCGCGCTTGGTGATGTGAGAGCCTGGTCCGGTGAGAACCCGGCGTGCTCCGTCCCGGCTTTGTAGGGATGCGAGGTCAATGGTCAAACGACTACGGCATGCACGACTATGAGTACACCCCCCCCCCCCCCCCTCCCCGTCCTGTATTGCCTGCTCCCAAGAACACCCGTCACGCCTAATCGCGGCCCCGTAAGGGCTCCGAGTATGGTCACACGCGAAACGCTGTATGGTGGCGGCTTGGGGGAAATCGCCATCAAGCACGATCATCGGTGCATATGCACTCTCCTCCATTTTCGCAGCCCCCGCAACCGATCGCCCACCAAGAAAACGCAGTTCACTTCAACGAGACGCCGCCGAATGTCCTTTCGGCGCAAGTTTGTTCAGTTGTCGATGATCCATACCCCCTCTCGGCGGATTGCAAACTCCCGTGTCGCACCTTCCCGCTCAAACCTCCCAACAACGATTTCGGAGATGTTGAACGCGTCAGCGACCAGCCTTCCTCGCCTCCGCAAAAACAAAAAAAAAACGCACGTTCACTCACCGTCTTGAACACCGTATCCGTTCCGGCGATCTTGGAGGCTACGCTAAGGTCCTTGGCCAGGAACACGCCGCAGATTAGGGTGTTGGAGGCGGCGAAGACTCGCCACAAGACCGCCTTGGCGAGAGACCTCTTCGTGCTGTCCCCGGACTTGTCCTGGCCCCACTTCACCTGCACTCGCGGACAGCAGTGGGGAGCGAGTGAGCGAGCCAGCGAGCGAGCCGGCGCCATGACGAAAACACCACGCCCACGAAACACACCAAATCCAGCCACAACAGGTAACCAAAAGGCTCGTCCGTCGGGGGGGCGTGCGAGAGAGGGGGGGGGGGGGGGCCCTCATGTACACCCATGCCATAGTCGTTAGGACATGAACCTCGATCCCTACAGTGCCGGAACGGAGGGCTACCCTGGGTTTTCACCGGCCCAGGGTACGTACGTTTCACGAGGATGGACCAAAAAAGGGGGCGTGTGAGCAAGAAAAAGAATCGAGCGCGTCATGCTGTAGCGGTGAAATATTGTTGTTTTCTGGCAAGGCATACGGGAGATCGAATAGATGCTAAATAACGTTTTGCCTGGCCGTCGACTTATATCTTCTACGGTTGAATTTCGTGCGTCACGTCAAAGTAGCTGAGTTTGTCCGACCAGACCGGAACTCGAACCAAGAGAGAAACAAAGTCTATCCGCCTAATTTAATGGGAAAACGACACAATAGGGTATACCCTGGTCGAAAAGCGACACACCTGGGTACACAGTCATTAACAGCAGTAAATGCATTCATATGATGGGAAAACGACACAACAGAGTATACCCTGGTCGAAAAGCGACACACCTGGGTACACAGTCATTAACAGCAGTAAATGCATTCATATGATTGGTCAGCGCCCAATTTCACCCCGGTACGTCCGAAAAGGCGCAGGGTATACCCTGATGTGTCTACTTTTCCCACCAACTGTACCCTGTTTTCGGAAGTGTACCCTGACCTGACGGGAAATAAGACCCATTCATCAATCATTTCCCCCGCAGGAATCTTCCCAACTCCTTTTCCCCTCCAACCATGGGGTACCAAACGGCGAATCTTCCCACCCAATAACAACCATGGCAACGCGGCAGGAATCAGTTTCCGCCCCTGCCAAACAACACCAACCATCAACTCTTCCGCTCTAAAATCAACAATGGCCGGGCACTACCCCAGCACAGTTGTTCCGTTTGGAAACATGCACACACGCGTACAATACCCCGTGCACCACTGCTTGCTGCAGTCTATCTATATGCGACATGCACGGGTCACGCTACGAAAGCGAGACCGATCCAGCATGGTTGACATGCATATATATGCATGTATGTGCCCATGATGTGTGGCGCTGCGCTGAGCGGGCGGAGGAGAGAGGAAGCAACACCACACACAGACACGCCCTTGACATCAATCATGGAAGGAGGAGCGAGTGTTAACAACTCTAGCAGCAGGACTGTGTCGTCCAACTCAATCACCCTCCCTGTGCTCGCGGTGTATTTCATCGGCTCATCCCGCTGAAGCCTGACGTCTTCTTACTACATACATTGATTGGTTGGTCGGCTTGGTCGGCTGGTAAGCGCGACCGCTGCTGTTACAGCAGTAGTAGTAGTTCAAGCAAGAAACACATCGCAATTGAGACACAACAGACAACACACCCACGCACACACGGCACAGGCAGGAGGGAGTGGCGGCGCCCAACGTTACCCGTGTAGTGCTGTGTCCATACATGCATATATATATATGCATGTCAACCATGCTGGATCGGTCTCGCTTTCATAGCGTGACCCGTGCATGTCGCATATAGACTGCAGCAAGCAGTGGTGCACGGGGTATTGTACGCGTGTGCATGTTTCCAAACGGAACAACTGTGCTGGGGTAGTGCCCGGTCATTGTTGATTTAGAGCGGAAGAGTTGATGGTTGGTGTTGTTTGGCAGGGGCGGAAACTGATTCCTGCCGCGTTGCCATGGTTGTTATTGGGTGGGAAGATTCGCCGTTTGGTACCCCATGGTTGGAGGGGAAAAGGAGTTGGGAAGATTCCTGCGGGGGAAATGATTGATGAATGGGTCTTATTTCCCGTCAGGTCAGGGTACACTTCCGAAAACAGGGTACAGTTGGTGAGAAAAGTAGACACAGCAGGGTATATACCCTGCGCCTTTTCGGACGTACCGGGGTGAAATTGGGCGCTGACCAATCATATGAATGCATTTATTGCTGTTAATGACTGTGTACCCAGGTGTGTCGCTTTTCGACCAGGGTATACCCTGTTGTGTCGTTTTCCCTTAGTTAATCATTGTATGCATACACGCCAACGCTCACACCATTTGTGACAGAAACAACTGGGAAAACCATACTTGTAGCATGTTAGAACTCGTTCGTTCCTGCTGGCTGCCACCACCACCAACTAGATGCTCGGGGGACAGCAGAATCCAGCAACAGAATACAAAACGTGTATGTATCTCGAAACGACCGAGAAGGTCGCTCTCGGTCGATCGACCGCCGCCGCCGCCGCCGCCGCCGCTCACCTTGTTCCACAGGCGTTCGCCCGCGAACATGAAGCCGCTCTTGGTGACGAAGTCCGACCCCACGATGCTCATCGCCGTGGCCAGGCTTCCCGAGAACACCAACCCGGACACCTGCGAAACAGAGCAAACAAAAAAACAACAGCCAGCTATCGTTATTGATGCCGTCGGTGGTCTGATAAGTCTCGGCGTTGTTTCTCTCCTGTCCTGGGCGAAGAATATACCGTGCTCGGCGGTGCCCTTGCGAAGAAAAGCGCATGAACCCCCCACAAAACCCACCACCACCACACGGTGGTGCACTTGCAAATAATACGTTCCACACCCAACCCCTTCCGCCGTCTCACCAACGTGACCACCCCCGCGGTCAGTCGCCAGACGAGCGCCTTGACGAAGGATCGCGTCGCCGACTCCCCGTACACCAGCGCCGGCCGCAGCTCCTCCGTCGAGGGCGGAGCGTCGGGCGTTTCCGGGAGAGGCGTCGCCATCATCGTCGGCGGCGCCACCGTCCGGCTGCTGCTACCACCGCCGCCGCCCTGCGGAGAAAAAAAACGCAAAAGAACGGAGTGGATCTCGCGCACACTCAACATCTTTGTTCCTGTAAGGACATCAGTAATAGATAGTTGGGGGCCATCGACCCGTCTACAGTAGTTACTACAGCAAGGCCACGGGAGGTGGCGGCGGGCGGGTGGAGATGGGCATGGTGTGAGACGCCATAGGTGTCTTCCGAATCCACGAATCACGGCAACACGGAAACCATCTGCGACAGGACAAAGTCATCGCAGGGTTGCCCCGCCGAGAGACGAAGGAAACGCGTATGGATAGGTATCCGAGGGCGAAACAGTCGGCGTTCAGAATTGCGACGTTCAGAAACTGCGGAGACATGTATTCGAAGACATCTTGAGAACAAGGGAAACAACGCGACGAGAGACAGATCTTGTGATCAACGGAATGTGTGCAATCCATCCACCGGGTACATCTGTACCTGCTGAGCGCCGGTGTCGTATCTAACCAAACCGCCCGCGAGTGCGTACCACGTGAGACAGCTCTGCGCCCAGTAGTCGTATACCAATAACAGCAATCGTACGTAGCACGCATGGATCAAACACGGAGCGTCTTTCGGAGAAAGACCAGAATCAAAATCCCCGCCGCCGGTCTCCGTCTTGGATACACCACCCAATCAATGCTGCGAGAGTCACCACCAACACTTTTCTTACGTGGAACCCTGTTGCTCCGATGGTGTACGTCCTCATCCCCTGGGCGCGAGGCTGGCCGGCTGCTGCCGTGCTGCTACCGCCGCAGCCGGGCTGCCATCGAGCCGCGGCGGCGGGCGCCGCTGGCGGCACTACGAATCCAAGGGACGGAGTTACCACCGCCGCCGCCGCCAGCAGCAGCAGGAGCAACATGCTGCGGGTGGTTGCTGCGGGCCTTTTGTCCGCCGGAACGACCATGAAAAAGAAGCCTTGTTGCGTGTGGCGCGACGCTCTTTTTCCCCTCCCGGCGAGAAAGGGTTGGTAGAAGCTGTTGCTATGACAGGGAAAACAGCTTACCTGTGCAAGCGATGGTGGGCGAAAACGGCGGGGTAACGGTTGTGGTCGGTGCGTTGCTGGGCACACACGCGCGCGGCAGACACACCACCAACGTCCACACTCTCAAAAGTTTGCCACTGGGCAACTCTTCAGCCACAGACGTTCAACTTAGGTTTTTCTGGAACGGGGATCATGTCACTTGTGATCATGCTCGCCGATGCGCGCACTATTGTACATCGCAGAGCAGTAAATGCGAGTACGGCAGCAACCAGACATCCAAACCATGCCGTCGGTTGTCAAAGCAAGAGCTGTAATCCAGGCTCAACAGGCAACGAACGCTATATGGTTGGCTGGTCCAACTCCTCGCATGCTCTGTGGCCGAGTACGTACACCCGCCGCCGAGAGGTGCAATCCTGCAGGTGCATTGATCAGATCCTGACCTCATACCGGGATAAAACGGCACCGGAGAGACTGACCTGGGTAGCCCAGCTGATATTCGACCACGTTTCAGCACAGGGATTCTTGAAAAGTGTGTAACAGGACACGAAAATGCAGGTGCTGTGAGCGGTATGGTGTGTGTGCGCGCGGCAGAGACGCCCCGGCAATAAGGGGGCATCGCGGATATGGGGGTTTGCGCCCGGGGTGTGAGTTTTTGGTCATGGATGTGGAATTTGCTCCGCATCCACCCAGTCCAGAGTCACTGCCTTCCCGAGCACAACGCCGGTCATTGGCGCTCTTCTGCGAATGCAGCGTGTGATATGATGATTGCTCTGGGCTAGCTCAAGCAATACAGTTGTCTGTGTGTTATTTCCTTGGTATCAAGAGAGAGGTGGCACGGCGGGAGAACTAGGCAGCACCAGCAGTCTTTCAAATCATGGCCGCACAACAACAGAAGGCGGCTACAACTGCAACTTCCACTCCACCACCGCCAGACCCCTCCCTCCTGGCCGGCTCTCTCTCCCTGACCTCAGGGGCATGGTCGGCGATCAAGCGAACCGGAGCGTGTGCCTGCTGCGCCGCTCGCCTGGTCGCATGCCGAGACCCTGCTGTGTACGCGTGCGACGAGCGGGCCTTGAGAGCGCAGCTCGACGCTCGTTTTCGCTCAACTAACGACGCCAACGACGACGTCGCTGCTGTCACTAGCGCGGCGAGAGACAGGTGCTGCCCTCTCTGCCTGGGTTTGCTGCAGCACGAGGTGCCTATCCGCATGGCTCCCCGCCCTAGGCCTTCCTCCGAGGTTCATGGGGACCACAACCGCTCCTGCGAACAGGCGTCGCTACCAACACCTCCTGCCGCTGGTGCTTCGAACACACACGCGCAGGGAATTGCGCCGCCGCCCGTCCTTGCCGAGAAAACAGAGGCGCCTGGATCAACCACGGCTATGGCGATTGACCGTTGCGAGCGCCAGGCGCTCGATGAAACGGCCACCGCGGTGGTTGCCCCAGGCAACAGCAACGGCAGCAGTACTAGCGGTACCTGCAGAAACACGGGCTACTGTCGTTCGCGAATGGCGGAGGCGATCGTGGAATGCGTCACCACCCGAGGGTACACCGTAACAAGCTTTGGGGTGACGGCGGCGGTGCCAGCGTGCCTGGCGGTGCGGAACGCGGCGTTTCTGGAGGCGGGCTTGGGCGGCTGCGACCTCTCACCCAAGCCTTCGCACCAGCAGCAGCAGTCCTCTCCGGATGAACCCGAGCCGCCCGCCGCCGCCACGCCGCCGCCAGCGCCGACGAGGGCGGGTCAAATCTCCAGACAGGCCGTCGTGCCCGTCAAGGAGGCGCTCAAGATCGGGCTGGCTCACGTGCTGAAGGCCCACCTCCAAACCAGACAGGAGGAGGCGGCGGCAGTGGCGGCAGTGACGGCGGCAGTAGTGACGGTCGACCACCAGGACTCTGACTTCATGGTGGAGGTAACCGCGAGGGCGCCCGAAGCCGACGCGCACGCGGCGACCGCCCTTTTGGGAGGCCCGGCTCCGTCCCGCTCGGGCGCCGGCAAGCCGCCGCGCGGCTGGCCCGCGGGGGGAGGGAGGTGGGCGAAGAAGCGCCAGCGGCGGGAGCAGCAGCGTAACCCGGGGCTGACCGTCGGCGCGGTTAAGAAGGGCCTCAACGAGATGGACGACGCGGGCAGGGAGCGCATGAGGCGCTGGGTACAGGGGCTAATAGAAGAGAGGAGGACGGGCGGGGGGATAGAGGAGGGGATAGAGGAAGAACCGGTGGCCAGCATTGGCGGAGCCACCAGAGCAGGAGATAGCAGTAGCGGGGGGGGCGCGGTTGAAGTAGTCGGTGGTGGAGATGGTGTCGTCGACGCCGAGCCGAAAGACTCTACGGGCCAGGCGGTAGACGGTGTGACCCCCGTGAGCGGGACTGTTGCGGGTGGTGATGCGAGGGAGGGATCACCCGCTGCGATACCTGCGGAGGCGCCGGTGGTTCGAGCTGCGGGACCGCCACCACCCTCCGCCACACCAAGCGACGCCAGTACCCACCCGACCAGCGCCGGCGCGGAGGCGCTCTGCGAGGTCGCCATCCGGCGGAAGCCGATCCACTTCTGGGGCCGGTACACCAAGCTCTCCCGGAGCGTCCCGCAGACGCCGTGGTTCAAAGGTTTCTACTCCGTGCAGGAGGCGGTCTCCGAACCGTTCCAGGCGTTCTCCGGGTGCGTGGAAGGGCTCCTGCACGGGGCCGGCCGGGAGGACGTCGACGTCCGGATGCTCGGAAAGGGCCGCCCGTTCTGCCTGGAGCTGGTGGACTCCCTCCGGTCCGTCGACGAGATCGCGGCGCGCTTGCCGTCCCTGGCCGACGCGGTTAACACCGCGGGGGGCGTCAAGAACGCCGGCGGCGGGGTCGCGGTGTCCAGGCTCCAGGTGTCCGGCCCCGGGGAGCTCCCGAGCGACGTCCAGGCCGTCGGCGAGGGGAAGCGGAAGCACTACCGGTGCGTGGTGTGGGTGTCGAGGCCGGTGGGGAAGGAGGAGCTGGTGAAGGCGCTGTGCGAGGACGCGCCGGAGGAGCTGGTGGTGCAGCAGGCCACGCCCATCCGCGTGCTGCACCGCAGGACGCTGCTCGACAGGCCTAGATCGATCTTCGGCATGCGCGCGGAGTGGATCAACGAGCACTTTTTTCAGCTGGAGCTCGCCACGTCCGCCGGTAAGAAGCGTCAAGAGAGGGTTTTGTAGAGGACAGTTGGAGCGTTTTTTTTTCACTGCGGGTCACTGTTCGCTTGTCTTGTCTGCCGTTATTTTTCCCCTTCCCTTTTGCGGGTTATCACTCTCATTGCTGTTGTTAATTTCTACTTCTACCGTGTTAAGACCATTTTCGATCTTTGTCGAAGTTGGGCTTTTCATTCGCTGTGCTCTGGGCGAGAACAAGTAATTTGTACACCCTTCTTGCAGTAGATAGGTCTACAAGAGCTCGAGGCACCACGTGGTACCCTAGATCAACACGGCCCACAAACAGGACCCTGACTGTTGAACACACACAGCCCGCGTTCTTATCCTTGAATACAGAATGGCAACGGTCCACCACATCATAACCTCCTACTGCTGCTTACTTCCTCCTTAGGGCAAGCCATCATCAGCCGGTATTTTTTTGGTCTTCGCGACAGAATTGTTTGTCGAACGGGACAGTTTGTACAATTGAAAATTGAAAGAGACATCGAGCCCCATTTTGTTCACTGCCTAGCTCTTGGGTGGTGGCAGGTCGTGCAACTTCCCTTCTGTCTCACCCCCCCCCCTTCCCCCCCCCACGTTATTATGTCTCCTCCCAACAGGCACCTACATCAAGGAGTTCGTGCACGGGGATCTCGGGCGAACCGTCCCCTCAATCGGAAGCCTCCTCGACTGCCGGGCGGACATCCTCCAGCTTGACGTTACGAACGTCGAAGACAGATGGAGCGCAGCGGAGGATGTCTAGAAGACGAGGGATAGAGGGCCACGGCGGTTTGAAAGCATCGCCTTGTTCGGCCGAGAGGGTGGAGGAACACAACCTTTCGCCGTAGGGGAGAAACGAGGAAAGCATCCTGGCAGATGGTTTGGCAAGCGTCGCAGTGTTCACTGACCGACGGCAACGACAGCTGTGCGTGTCAATAGGAGGCGGACGCTCGTGTGCTCCGCGTGGTTAGCGGAGTTCCCTCCCCGCAGCGTGATTGGCTACAGATAGAATGATGGCTTGGCGCAGTCTAGTTTCAGCAACGAAAAGGGCCAAGCGTATTGTTTGTAGTGGGGAACGCTGAGGGCCAACTGCTGTCTGGGGGTTCTGCGGCACCGCCAGCAGGTGTGTCGAAGGGTAGACGATGCTGCGACAGGATCGTTCCCAAAGATCAAACTACTCCACGCAATTGCCGAAAGTCGTTAAGGCGTGCGGTACACCGTGGCTAGCGCCCGCGTAGACCACCGTCGCCGATTCCACTCGTCACATCAGCTGAGCAACACGAGAATCACAAGCTGATTAAATCACCAAAGTTTACTGAGAATGGTGGGGTACGGTGCTATTTTACGACCTCCCGTACCTGCAGATGTACCCAAGACAAGAATCTGCCGTACATGCGCAGTTGTACGTGTCTGCACTTCCGGGGTTGCATGCATGCAGCGTACAACTTGGGTCCGACGGCAAAGTTCACCACATTTGTGAGGGGGGCTGCATTTCAACACACGCAATATTTTCGATGGTCCGTCTAGAATACGAGCGAAAACTCATTGATCAAAAGATGCACCTGCAACACACCCAACCGCATCATCACGCACTATGTCGTTCAGCTAAAGCCCCCCATGTGGCGCCGCCCATGTCAACCCGAATGTGCAGGACGGTGTCAATAAACCCAATCACGCCGTGCCCCACGTGGACAGCAAACAAACAACATGCGGATGCGAGCATAAAGTCGCCGACGTTCGCGTTGTGTGTACAGCAGTACCACGCGCTCGACGGCTCAAGAATATTCCGACGGCGCGCCGATTGGTCGAAGCGTCGCTATTGCGTCCCGACCCCGCCGGCATTTCGACACTGTCCTCTCCTCCCCTCCCTACAATCCTCTCTGCCGGTGGAAATTAAAGAAACACAGGTTTCGGTTCTTCTCCCCCTTTCCTTCACCGCGAGTGGCTACGGTCAGAATCCCCTCGCGGTTTCCAGCGGCCCCCATCTCCTACCCCCGCCGCCTCCCTGAGAGGGGCATCATCGAAACGTCCCCGATCGTCCGCCCTGTAACGCCCGCCGCCTCCGCGCCTGCTGTCGCTACGTCCTCTCCTTCCACCCCACCCGCCGCCTTCCCCTCTCTGTCTGCTGCGGCTCCGCCCTCTCCTCCCACCGCCACCGCGACCGTTGTTGTCGCTGCTCCTGCTTTGCCTTCGCATGCTTCCGTTTTCGTCGCGCCAGCTCCCGCGCGTCCCCCCGCCCATTCCGTTCGAGGAAACCCGACCCCGATCACCGCCACCGCCGCCGCCACCACTATCATCGCTGCCGCTGTCCGAGTACCCGCGGCGACCGTCCCTGTTGCCGCTCGAGTGCTTGGACTTCTTGTGCTTGTGGCCGCTCTTCTTGTGCTTGTGGTCGCTCTTCTTGTGCTTGTGGCCGCTCTTCTTGTGCTTCTTCCTGTGGTCGTCGTCATCGTCGTCGTCGCTGCTGTCGGAATCGCTGTCGCCACGGCGGTGGTCGCTCTTCTTCTTCTTCTTCGACTTCTTTTCCTGTGCGCCCGCGCGCACGCAAGTTCGTGGAGGAGAGAGAGGGCCGCGCATGAGTCAGCAGCTGGAGGCTTCCAAGGTTGTTCGTTCGAGGCTTGTCTCAAGTCTGGTGACAGGTGCTCTGGTCGGACGGCTGGTGTTCTTTACCGAGCCACAGCAATAACAAACACAGCGGGAAATCAACCACAACCTGATGTAGGGCATAGAAAGAAAGGAAAGGTTTACCTTGCGATGGCTCTTCTTGTTGAGCTTGTCCACCAGACCGAGGTCGTTCATCCACGCGGGCATGGTAGCCCCGCGTCCCCTCCCACCTGCCAGCGCACCGCCTCCATGGGGGGGCTGTTTGAGAGAACCACACACGTTTGCGTGGCACGCGAGAGACAAGAACATATTAAGTGCAAACCCGAGAGGTAAAATGTGTGTAGTAGAGGGCGAGCGCGGGTGAAGGTTGGTGGGATTCCTGAAGTCTAGGTGTGTGTGGGGGGGGGGGCAACACTTTTCATCCATGGCTATCGCGGGCTAACAGCCCCCTCTCATCATCCAAACGCAGGTTGCTTGTGTGAGTGGAGGAGGTTATATTCCCATGATCTCGAGCCCCCGCGCTGTTGGTCGCTGGCTCGAGAGATGCAGCACCCGAGCCGCAGCCAAACGCCCCACACTCGCCTCACGGTGTACCCCCCGCATGCCATTGCCAGTCCCCCCTCCAGCTCCTCCTCGACCGTTGTCTCTGGGGTCTTCTTCGTCCACAAGCTCGTACTTCTTGCCCCCCCTGGAGAAGCAATCGATCGATAAGTGCCCGTGGACTCCGCACTGCCGCCAGTCGAACAGAAAGAAAGAAGAAAACAACATAACAACAAAGAAAAAGAAAAATGAGACAATCGGCGAAAAAAAAAAAACGGGACCGACCGACCGGCCTACAAAAACGCCGCCGGATTCCCCACATACACACAGGCAATTAGATAGCGATAGAGAAGAAAAAATGAAAAACAGGCGGCACGAGTTAAACAGGCAAGATGTTTGGAGAGATAGAGAGTGCGTCACCTGTTTCAAAGGAAATTAGTTGGACACGTATTTTGTGTAGCGGGGGCGCACGCAGGGTCTTCGTCGACAGAGTCACTCGTGTGGACACCAGGGGGTAGGGAGGAGGAGGGGGACGGGGGGGGGCTATAAATGTCCATGATGGCGCTATGCTACATTTACTGGGTCGACCCCAACCCTGTCTGCTCGTGGCAAGAGCAATGTGATGGGGGAGGTTGGTCCTTACAGCAGCGCCCACACGTCAGCAGTTTTGCGGTACAGTTTTGATCATCCCTCCACCTTTCAGAGTTCTGCGATCCACCACGACACGTTCCGTCTCCATGAACAACACGATTGGAAACGTGCATGTCAACATACTATTCATGTCCTACTATAGTGCGACATAATCGTGCGGATGGAACGCGCATGAAATCGGAGGGAGACGTATCGTTCTCTTCAAGGTTAACTCGCCAGAACAACCGCAGTCGCCATTTTTGTTGGGCAAATTAGTTTGTCCAAACTCTTGGAGGGGATCTCCCTTTTGTGTAGCACAGATCTGCGGTATCAACGCGCCCGCGGTGAGCACGGGTGCATTCAGAATGCAAGCGAACCCACCTTTGTGCACGTGGTGTTGAAGACCGCTTCCAGCTGCACCGGGGCCCTATCGCCCCCACCCGCGGGTCTTTTGCGCTGCGCCTGAAAAAAAATAGCAGCAGCAGTAGCAGCAGCGGCGGCGGCGGCGGCGGCGGCTTTAATAACGTGCGCAAGTCTCCAGCAGGAGCGGCAACAATGCGGGCGGCCACCCAATTGCTAACTTTTTGCTCCAGTGTGTGTACTGTAGAGCGGGTGTAGACGTGAGCAGCAGAAATGCCACCCAGAATCTACCCCGAAAATCGTGACAGCAGTCTGGGCAGCGTAGTCGAGGTCGAGAATACCTGCTGGGGCAGTTCCAACAAAGACATGAGCGGACTCCCACGACAACAACCAGTGAGGCCTGGCACGCGTGAACACTCCTTCCGCTGAGCCCATCCGGGGGGCCGGCCAATAACTTCAGCCGACGGCTCGTTGCTCGGGAAGGTCGACGATACCATTTACGTGCACCCGTCGGCAAAAAACACACTGGCCGTGACGAGACATGGGACTGCTCTACATCAGTGGCAGTGCGAACAAAAAGTGCTCACGTCCGTCTCAGCCTCGGCGTTGGAAGGGTCGAGATCCTTGCCGTCGGCCTGGTTGACCAGCTTCATGGAGAGCGCGATGCGCTGTTCTCGGGGGTCGGCCCCGTCCGTCACCTCGATCACCTGTCGTTCGGTTTTGGCCGTATGATGGTACGAAGCGGTGTTGCTCATGGCAAGGTTGTGTTTTCCTAACAGATGTGGCATACTGCTGTACCATCCCGATGCGGCAAGAACAAACGCTGCCGTCCATCCTGGGCGGGAGATTTGGGTTGGCAGAAGCCTCGTCCTTCGCAAAAGCAATTCATTCATGTGCGGCGCAATAACGTGATTGGTTTGCCACCGCAAAAGGAAGCCTTCGTGACAGTTTCTTAGAGAGGTTGCGGCGCAACATCGCGACTGGCTTTGCTGCAACAACAAAAAGGCAAGGAGGATCTCGCGCGTACACTTGCACAAGTACCAAGTGGCGTCGAGAGGTGTCGGTCCATTCCCGTTGCCATTTATCGGTGTGTTGCTAACAACCCCAAGCATCACGAGTTAAGCCTATCCCTCTGAATCGGGTGAACACTTGCCGTTCCGATATCACAGCGAAATCTCACGCAAGCCAACAATCGGCCGTGACTTCCCCCACCACTGGAAAATACGTATCAGGCAACCGATACAATCAAACGGAGAGAAAAGCGAAACAGCCGGGATAAGCTTGGAGCACACCCTTTGGGAGGAAGCAATCGCACCTTCGCGTACACAGTGTCGCCCACTTTGCAGACGTCCGTGACATCTTCCACTCTGTACGAAGCCTGTGGACAGTGTTTGGGGAAGGAACGCCGAAAAGGCAGGGAGGGCGTGCGATCAGCAGGAAAACCTCGCTGTTGCCGGCAACATTGGAGAGAAAAGGTACCACTTTATTCTCTCGTCGGCCAAAACAAGAACGATCTGTAGATGGGGTCATCACCAAAAAACGAAGGGCGTTCCACAGCATGTGCGGTGTCGTTTCCACTTGAAAAAAATCACCATCTGCCCTGCACACTTTCAAGGATGCTACCGCACGAACATGAGGCTCGTCTGCCTGTAGATTCAAGAACAAAGGCATACCATCTGGCTGCAGTGCACCAGCCCATGCTTGCGGTAGCCGTCGAGTTTGATGAATGCTCCGAATGTCTCCGTCTGTAGAAAATGTCGCCATGGGGGGCAAAAACAGCCGAAAATGAGCACAAGCAGTGTGCCCAACAAGCGCGGGGGGCGCAGTGACGAGCGAAGGGGGCGGAGGTGAGACATCGGAGGAAACAAGCGACGGAAGTATTGGCGGATAATCCAGTCATGTCGTGCTACACACCTATCTATCATCGCGTCGTATGATTGGTCAGCTGTGACGCTTGTGTACTGGCGCCACATGCGGATAGTCTACGGACCGTTGCGCACACCAAGGTCCATGCGAATAAACCGAACGTGTGTGTGTGTGTGTGTGCACGAAGCGGAGTCAAATATCATTCTCGCACGCAGGAACACACCCCACACAACAAAGTGATTCATCCCGCACTTTCACAGGAGCGAAAAAAACAGCAGTAGAATTTCTGCTATGGTCCAATTTGCAACCTATCGCTACCGCTACCGCGTGCAAAGGAGTCCACCAGAGCCCTTCCCCAAACTCCAAAACTCCCCGTCTTCGCACCTTGACGACCTCCCCCTTGTGGACCGAGAAAACTTCGGGAAGCTTCTCCGGCCCTCTGCCGCCCCCTCTGCCGCCGCCCCCGCCCCCGCTGCCGTAGTGCCCCCCGCCGCTCCTGCTCCACCCCCGACCGCCTCCGCCCCGCCCCCCCGTGATCCCCCCGTTGGCCATGGTTGGCTCTGGAGGCAACGGGCCTGCGCTTCTCGCAAACCTTGGGGGGCTCTTGTCCTTCGAAGGCCTGCTGGCGTGTTCGGGGGGAAAGGTGAGTGCGTGGCCGATTTGCTTGAAACGGGGCGACAAAAAGCGAGACATACTGGAAATCCCAGCAAGCCGTACTTGCGTAGATACGCCGTCACTATTGCACCGCGGAGGTAGTCGCCGTTGCTCGGTGGTGTTTTCTTGAGCGCATCGACAGGCACAAGTTGATTCCAGCGCAGCAACAGCAGTGTCCTCCCCCCTCCGCCTCCGCTATTTGTCAAGCCAACTACAATAATAGCAGCATCAACCGAGTGGTACTACGCCACCCCCTCCTCTGGCACGTTCGTATCACACCTGCCATCTCCGCGGTCCCCCCTGTCGCTCTCCTGCAACCCCCCCGGCCCGCCCGGGTGCGTCATCCAAGCAGGAATGGTTGATCCGCGCCCCCGTCCCCGTCCCGCCGCCGGAACATTGCCGCCGCCGCCGCCCGCGAAGGCTTGCTGCACCGCCCTGAGAGGCGGCCGGTTGGCCCAAGACAGGAAAATAAGCGCGGGAGTGAGAAAGAGGAGCTGTCATGCCGGTGCGCCTGAACACGGTGCAGGAGCGGGGGTCCCGCAGTATCCCTGAAGGGTGCCAAGCCAAACATGACCGAATAATGACGGAATGGACAACACGGGGCTTGTGTCTTATTTGGACAAGGGCCACTTGAATGAAAAGCAGCGTGCTGTAAATAGGACGCATAACGGGCAGATCGTGAGCTTCGGCGTGTTCCCCCCGGGTGAGCGCGCCGATGCCAAAACGACGAGGTTGACCTTTAGGCAGAAAGGAGAGATCGGCATCGGCACACCCATAGACAGACAGACAGAGATACAGGGGCGCGCGAGAGAGAAAGACAGAGCTAGATAGACAAGAGAGACTTTCCCGGAACCATTCGGGTGTGCGAATCAATATTCGACCTTTGGTTCCGTGCGTTGAGCAAACAACTGGAAATAGAGCTGCGTCGGGGTGCTTGTGTGTTCTTCGGCTCGGCATCACCGCCGTACTTAGGCTATTCGCAACCCAAGGGCGAGGGCAAGACAGTGTCAAAACCGGTCACGAACGCCAAAACCCATACGATGACAGGGGCGTGGCACCACACAACGGTACCTGCTCGCTACATCGTTGGCGTTGCTCCGGCCTCCGCTCCTCGCGGCGGTGTCCCTGCCACCCCCGTTCCGCCTAGAAGCAGCACACCAGGCAAACGAAGCGGGAGAAAGAGAGACCCAGAGATCGGAGAGAGATGTGCGGGGGGGGGTTATGAGCCAGGGAGGAGAGGGGGTGCAGGTTTTCCAAGGACGTATGCATCGCAACGCGCCTCTCATCGGCGAGAAGAAGGCCTACAGCAGTCGTACAATTAGCGATCCACGGCTGCGCATGATGACTCCAGGGTCGTGGATAAGTCCTCGTAGTACTATTTTACCTTCATCTTCATCTCGTGCTTCAATTTATCGGGCATGGGCAGGGGTTAGAAGCACGTGTTATGCGTGCGAATGCCTAGATAAGTGAACAAGCACCTTGCTCTTTTAGGGCAAGCAGGATGGACCGGTTCGGATGCGCGTGGCAAAGCCTCCCCCCATGACAAGTCTTCTTGATTCCTCTTAGGGCGCGACAACGCGTTGCTTTTCGGAGACAAACAACTTTCTCACGTCGCCTGCCTTCACGACACACCCTGGCCGCTGCTGCACTTGATTCGAAACAAAAAAACAATACGACGGCACGCCTCTTTTCTCATGTCCAATACCTCACGTGCAAGCAAGAAGTTTCCGTTCGTGCGTACCACCCACGAAATTGGACAAACAAACATCTCCAAGTGCACCTCGGTCGATCAAACCCCAACCCACCTATCGTCCGACCTATGCCTCGATCTAGACCTAGACCTCCGGTCGCGTGAGTCGGAGCGGCGTCGTGACCGCTCGCGGCCCCCGCCGCCTCCGCTCCGCCGTCCGATCCTGCTCCTGCTTCTGCTTCTTGACTGCTGCTGCTGTCGGCTGCTGTTGTCGCGTTGTGCGTACAGGCAACAGAGATCAATTTACCGTAGAGACGGGTGCGCAGTACTGCTGTTGTCGTAGCAGAGGGGGAATAAACAGAAAACACGCCGTTTCGTGTCATTTCCGTGCGAGCAACCATCCAGATACTAGGCTGCTGTGGGTTGCTTTACCAGGGCGGTGCTTCGTTACTCGGCGTCTCTGAACCCAAGCTTCTTCCTGTGCTGCAAAAGGTGGGCATACAGCAGTATACAGCTGCTGCTGCTGGGCTCAAAGAAACAGGGGTGTTTGCCACACAGCAGCAGACAGAGTACCTGCTGCTGCTTCTCCCAAAGGCTTCTGCTTATGTCTCACCCATTGCCATGGCTGCTGCTCGCCGGTCCGCCTCGCCCATTGAGCCCTCCCAACGATGGCGCAACAGACCCGCTTGTCATCCAGGCTGGCTTGGTGGCGGCGAGTCCTCTACCGACCCCTCTCTGCTGGTGGGAGCGCGCGCAGGTTGCCAAAAACTCGTGTGATGGTGTGGACACACTGCTTGGGTACGCAATTTCTTCACAAAGCAATAACATGCTCTCTGCACAGGCGGGCAGGCGGTGCCGTTGTGTAGACGGTGCTTCAGCGGCACGAGCCTTGAGTACTCTATCGGCACTGGCTCGCTCTTTGCACAGCGGGCAGCCAGCAGGGTCACCTACACAAACGATCAAGTTGGGTAGCTCCCGTGTGGTGTACAGCCTTGCATTCCAACAAAATCCCAACAAGATAAGGGAAAAGCAGCAAAAATCAAGCATAACCCAACACCCTCCCCCCCCCCAAGTCATACCTGCATGGTTCACGTCAGTCTCTGCGTCTCCCCGCTGTGTGTATCTGCTTCTGTTTGCTCCCATTGCCATGCATGGATCCACGGTTCGTCCATCATTCCAAAGCCCCGCGTCCGTAAACCATATACCTTGTTTGCGCAATCTGTGGGCCCCCCCTTTCGAGAGAAAAAAAAAAATAAACTCGAAACTCTTTGATGCCTAACGGGAGTGCGCCTGCGAGCCTGGGGGGTCAGGGGCAGGGACAGAGTTGCAGCTTCGCCTCGCTCGTGGCAAGCGGTGGGGGGTGCAGATGGTATCGGACGACGAGAAGTCCGTGCGAGCGACGAGAGCTTCGACCGACAACAATCTGCTTCGCCCGACAAACCGCCAGCAGCAACCGCAGCAGGATGGCAACAATAATACATCCTCCTCGCCTTTCGCGGGTGGCGACTTTGCCGACGACACCGGGGGCCGCAGGGGCAGGCGGAACATAAGCGACGCAACTGGGGGATTGCTACCGCCGTCGAGCGCATCCTCGGGAGGAGGAGGAGGAGAGGCGGAAGGGAAGGGTTCCAAGCAGCAGCAGCAGCAGCAGCCTGGCTGGGGAAAGAAGGGCAAGTCCGCAAGAGGTCTCTTCTTTCGGTCGACTGCTGCTGCCGCTCCGAAATCGCAGCAGCACGAAGGGGACAGCCTTCCCGTCCCAGCGCTTGCGGACGGCAGCAGCAGGAAGCCTCCCAAGTCAGAAAGAACGTGAGTGAGATGCGCAATCTAGGTTTGAAACGTGCGCCGGAGTAGGCCGCTGCAGGGCGTGTGCGTGCGTTTGGTGCGCCTGCGGCAGGCCAAAGAAAAAATACTGTCGTCGCTGCTGGACACCTACTTTTGCTCTCCTCTCAGCTGTGCTGTGTGTTGCACATCAAAACTATGGTATTTATTTGGGGTGGTGCAGTCGCTATTGGTTTTCAACGATCCATTTATTTGATCAGCGCCAATGCGCGTTTGTTGCATGCATGCGGGGCCCGCTGGCCGCTGCTGGCACACAGCAACGACGACGCGTTAGCCCGGCAGAACGAGTGCACACGGGGACCGCTGCTGTTGCCCACCTCTGCAGGCTGTTGGCGACCTGCCGTGCCTCATATTTTTCGACGGCCCCACAAATATTCGGCAGATACTGCTGTATTGAGAGAGAAAAAAGAGCGAAGACAAACCGCTGCCAGAGAACGATTAACAAACCAACCAGCACAGGGTGCCGTGATGATACACCCATGTTTTTCCTTCTGCAGACCACGACGACGACACATGGGTCTCACACGGGGACACATGATTTATTCGTTGCATTCGAAAAATATCAAGTCTATTGTACTGCTGCTTCCCCCTCGGTCGCTCGTTTTGTTGCGCGCTCAACAAAGCAGAATTCGGGTACTGCAGCAGGCAGACTAATACAACGAAATTTTCCGCCGTTTTGCCAAATTTGGTTGTTGTGCGGCTAGCTAATTATGGAGCGGAGCGGGAACAGAGGTTTGAGTTTTTTTCAGTATGAAACACACCAATGTGAAGACAACAACAACAACAACAACAACAACACCGCCGGTGATAAATAGGCGACTTTAATTGGATTCGCCTATTTATCACCGGCGGTATGTTTCATACTGAAAAAAACTCAAACCTCTGTTCCCGCTCCGCTCCATAATTAGTTAGTAGCCGCACAACAACCAAATTTGGCACAACGGCGGAAAATTTCGTTGTATTAGTCTGCCTGCTGCAGTACCCGAATTCTGCTTTGTTGAGCGCGCAACAAAACGAGCGACCGAGGGGGAAGCAGCAGTACAATAGACTTGATATTTTTCGTAGTACCCGCAGTGATCTGCTTCGTGCTTGCGTGCGCGTTGACTTTGGCGGGACCCAGACCCACAGGGGAAAGCTCACCGACGTGGTGATCGGGAACACAACCAGACGCGCGTGAATAGTCTAGCACCAGCACGGCAGGAGTGGGGCGTACGCACGCGTGTCTCATGGTTGACAGCAGGATATGGCTGTCTGGTCGCTAGCTGCTAGCCCGTTCGTTCAATCTTTATCTTTCTCCTATACTGACAACTGACAGAATGTATTTGAAGAAACAGATTTGTAAACTTCCTCTGCTGTGCACTACTGCTGCTGTGCACCCTCGTTTGTTCGCCCGTTGTGTGTGTATCAAACACGAGAATATTACCTCATTTGGTCTGTGACCTGTGAAAGAAGAAGTCGCCGGGGACACCCAGGTTTTATCTTCTTTTTTTCTTTTTTTTGTTGCGTGTGTGGAGTGTGGAGGTGTGTGTGTGTGCCGGCCGGCGCGCTTTCATCAGCGGCTGGGGACCAAATACAACAACCCTACCCCGATCCCTTTTTTCCTGTCATCGCGAACACACATCATGCAACGAACGGCGCGCGCCGTGCAGCACTTTTTGTTCGGTGGGATACCTGCGGCCCCTCTGATTTTTTGTGTATTACTGCTGTAGATTCGTTCATTATCCGCTACGAAGTTCCTACTGCTGTGCGGTCGGGCAACAATTCTTTTCTTGAATTGTGTAAGAACACCCCTCTCGGTGTGGTGTGTGCCCTTCAGCGGGGGTGTTGGAGACAAACGTCGGTCTCTCGGCCCAAGTATTCTATGCATACGTGATGGTGGAAATTCCCGGCCTGTTCCCATTCACGGTCGTTCTGGGTCCCGATGTGCCTCTTGCTTGTTGTTTTAACATTAAACCGTTCCGATCTGCTCTGTGGTTTAGCATATCTCTTTAAGAGCCGCAATCCTGGCGCGGACGCCCTTGGTCGCAGGCCTGCCTATGGATATGTTGTACGACAGATGGTGCGTGAAAGAGGTTGCTGCGATGGCGTACATTGAAATGTTGTTGCTGTTGTTGTTGTTTTTGTCTTGACATTAAACTCGTGTCAGTTGCTAATCCCAAAATCTAGCAAAGACGCGGTCCGTGGTCACAAAAATGCTAGAGCCATTCAGAAGATCCAAAGAATACGCAAACTAGCAAGAAAAGGTACACAAGCCCGAAGAGGTGTATATGTACCTACATCCCTGCAGCACGTTTCCGTGCCCAAAAACTGAATACCAGACCATGAATACGGCTCCCATTTTTTTTTTTCATCAGAAAGTCTTTCCGGGCTCTTTCAAGGGACAAGTGCTTAATCGCCGGGTTTACCTCGAACCTGTGGTGCATCAGCAGCAGTGACGATTCTCGAGGTAGACTGTTTAGGACGGAGCACTCTCGCAAGAAGGTGTTGCTAATGCTGCTGAAGCGTGGGGTTGTGTACGTGTTGCCTCTTTGCCTGGACCGCATGCCGCCGCCACTATTTAGGCGGCGGGGCGCAAATAACAGCAGCAGCGGGCAGTATTTTCTTCAACAACACTATTTATTTTTCCAGCCGTGACGTCCAACGGTCAACGGTTGCGGCTCCTCAGCGACCTGCCACGGATTGCGAAGTTCAATGCACAGCAGTAGTGCACGCGCACCCTGCTCGCTGTTTGTTGGTAGTCACTCCTCTGATCTAACTCTTCGCTGTCATGTGGGCCGACTACCTTTGTATAATGGTCTAATTGTACCGCACCGCCGTGTGTAACAGACTATAATATTAAAATAACTCGGTTGAACAATACCAGAGAGGCATACAGCAGTATTGTTGTACTTGTACATGAGTCTTGAGTTGTTGCCATTAAAAAAAAAAAAACTGCTCCCAGGACTCTCTAACGTACGCACCCGTCGAACTGACGCTGATGCCTTTCGTGGTTATAATACTCAGAGCAATATGCTTCGGTGGTTTTTTGCACATGTGTTGCTAAAAGGATTACCTGGTGGTGTGTAAGATAGCTCTGTTGCGGATACAGTAGCGAGCGGGGCGCGAGTAAATAAACCGGAAAATGAGACCACAGGAAAGATGGAGCTCTGAACGGGAGAAAGGGGTTGGTGTGCACATCTCCACAAGAGATGCGCGCCCTCCCCCCCCCCCCTCTCTCTCACCCAATGTTGTGTGAGGTGTTCACCAACAGCTGGCATAGAAAGCAAAGACGACGGCAAGTCGCACCCCACACCTAGCCGCGGGTATATTGTACATGAAGAGGGGAATCCCGGCGCCCCACAGCAGTGGTAGAAACAACAAGGTGTGTGGGTGTATCAAACCCTCTTGGCGCAATCCAGTCCGCCTGTTCCTTTTGACGAGAGAATCAGTCGACACCTGCCACAGCCCATTTTCTCTCGCACCCTACAATGTACACTGTACATATTCACGCACTCGCACACATTTTTTTTTTTTTTTCGCACACCGCACACATTGTGGTCCAACGATCTATCCCTTCTCGCCCACGGAGATACACATGCTAGGGCTCTTTCAGCAGCTGGGTAGCGACCGTAGTCGAAGGGTACATAGGTGGATGAGACTTTGGAGCGGTGGCACCGCGGCAGCAGCCATTTACGCGGGGTTGTGTCGTTGCCAACATCCCTTCTACACGCCAACCGGGGCACTCCACGCCCACACGATAGCAAGTCCGAAGGTCCATTGGCGCTTGCATCATCAGTGTACGCTCAACTTTTTCTTTTGATCCGCAGCGTTTTTTTGCAGGAACTTGCTTGCATTCTTTTGCTTTTGTGAGGGCACGCGCCTACGCATCCGACAATTTGCTTTTGAGGCGGTATCTAAACAACAGCTTCTTGTACTTACGCCAACACAACTACATGTCTCGAGCGGCTGCCCATGCCTTCCTTATTCGAAGCAAGAAAATCACGCGTAGTTGTAGTGAGGGCGCGGCCGCACCCCTCGGCCCTGTCTCTCCTCCCTAGACAAATGCCGTCGTGCCCACGCCGGTGCTTCGTCCTAAGCATACCTTAGACCCTCTAGTGACTTTTTTCCTTCTCTGTCTGGCCTAGGCTTTTCTCCGTAGGCGATTGCCTCGTATTTTTGTGGTCGATTTTGGTTATTATACTGAACATAGAGTGGAAGAAAGTTAGTGTATCTAAATCGCGAATCGCCTACGGAGCAAAATCTTAGTCTTGCCGCTGGAACTTGGTCGTATGCATACCTTTCGTCCTCTTTTGTAACGATCCTGCCTTTCTCCTTGCTTACGTCTGTACGTTCCTGCTTGTCTTGCCGCTTGTTTCGCCTCGCCCAAAACAAAACCCACACACCTAAAAAGGGCGAGCGGATCGTCCCTCTCCATGGCCAGCACGAGACGGGCGAGAGGGGGGGTGGGGGAGGGGGCGGCGGCGGACGTGGAAGATGTGTTTGCCACGAACGGGAGCAGCAGCAGCAGCGGCAGCGGCCGGCAGACGAACCTCCTGCCGAGCAAGTCTTGGGCGGGGAACTTCATCCGTAGCAACAGCTTCATGCGGAGCAACAGCCTCCCGATGTCTTCGGGGACGGACGGTCGTCCGTGGTGGGAGAATGTGAGTGAACTCCATTGACAAGAGAGGGAAAAGTTCACAAGGATGTGGAGATCACTTTTTGAAGCGGTCACATCTTCCCTGACATGGCGAAAAACGAGGGCTTGACGCGATAAAAGTTCATGGTGCGGACATCTGGAGATGGCCTTTAGAAGGGATCACATCTCCCCTCCAATGCCTAAAACGAGAACGTGACGCTATTCAATCTATGGTGTGGATATGTGGGGATAGACGTTTGGAAGGGATCCTGTCTGCCCTAACATTGCGAGAGACGAGAGCGTGATGCGATAAGATTCGCAGTACGGACATGCAGATGGGCCTTTTGAAGAGATCACATGTCTCCTGACAGGGCGAGAAACGAGAGCGAAATGCGATGCAATCCGTAGTACGGTCATGTGGAGATGACCTTTAGAAGGGATAATCTCTCCCCCAATACCTGTTGAGGATGATTTTCTGTTGTAAGTCGTATGACATCTCACCAATGTGATGCCAATGGAAACAGAGTGACTGACGCTAGGGAGATGTTGCCCTTTTTTACACTGGTACATATCTCTACACAGAAAGACGTTCAAGTTTTTGTTCACGCGAAGAGTTGCGAGGGAGACGAGATAGAGATATCGGAGAGTAACACGAGCAATAGTAGACTTAGACCTTGCTTTTCGTACAGGCAGCCGACCCAAAGGAAAAACGCACACACACCACCAGAGGTCTTTGAGAGACAGAAAACAAGCTTGACCGCGATGCCATACATGTCATACTTGTATGAACACGAAAACAGAGCACCGGAATGCAGTAGTAGGTTTCGCATGGCCTGTTTTTCCGGAACGAGGTCTGAGAGGAAAGAGAGAGTGTGTGTGTATTTGTGTGGAAAGGCGAAGTTGGTTTCCCACGTAGAATACCGCGTGCGACCCTCATCATTACATAGTACAAGAAGCCACCGCGCCTAACAGCAGATGACAGTTTTTTTGGCACGGTGGTGTAGAGAGAAAGCATGGGGGGCGGTAGTGTAGTCGCGCGAGGAAAAACGGGGTGGGGGTCGGGCGAAAGATGTTTATTCCGACCTCTTGAAAGAAGACACACGCAGGTGCAGTTAGAGAGAGAGTGGGATTCGAGGGCGGGGGCGGGGAAGTCCCGTCGCTGGCGGCCTGTTTCTCGTGCGGTTCGTTGCCTCTCGCCTTTCCTCGTTAGGCGTATGCATGTAGAGCCTTTCTTCGGCCCCTCGTCTGAAAGATCGCAGTCGGTTCTGTTCCAAGTCACCGCTGTAGTTTTATTCTTTTCACTCCCACTGATTTCCTCGTTTCTTTCCTGCTCACCACGCACGCGTGCCCCTACCAGAGCTCTTCGGGCTCCGGCGTGGTCGAAGAGGAGATGGAGCCGGAGCCATATCCGCCGAACCTGGAGAGAGGGGTGAGAAAGAGGGGCGCAGCCAGAGAAAGAGAGAGGAACAGGCGGGGGGGGGGGGCGCCCGCCCCCCTTGGAATACGTTTCGGGCCTGTTTTTTCCCGTTTATTTGTCGACAAAGGTCGTCGTAGTGCGATCGCTAATTGTGGCTATAATAGCATTCAAATGGGATTTCAAAAGTTTACGACACAGAGGCCCTGATATGACCCGGAATCGTGGCTTGTTGGGTTCATCGCTGTGCCTGTCCCCTATCGGCATCGTTCGTTGAACCGCTACTGCGCGAGTGCCTCTGTGTATTGGTCCTCCCCCCAAACCATTTTGTCTGAAATCCGGCCACGCGAATTCCATGATGTCACCCGCGCGCGGGCACCACGCAGGTCAAGGTCCGCAAGCGCAGCATGGCCGGAAAGAGCGAGATCCGGAGGCTTTACGTTCGAGGGGACACGATCGAGCTGGTCAATCCGGAGAAGCGAATGTTCCGCTCGCAGTCCAAGGTGTTCCCTCTCAGCGAGCTCACAGCGGTGAGCGAATTCGCTGTTCTGCGCTGAGAAGCGGCAGGACGACAAGAAGCCCCCGCGTTCTGAGTTAGGCTGGCTTGTATATTCTTTTTTTTTTCTGTCCTTCAGTGTATGTATGAGTGCGCTTGGACAGTGCTGCGACAGTCATCGACACAGTTGTATGCGAACCCTCTGTGAAGCAAGCAGGCAGGCTGCTCCCGTGTCAAGCAACCGGAGGTTGCAACCCCCCCCCCCCCCCCCCCCCCCCCC